TTTCTTTCTTTCTCTAAGAAATACCAAGAAAAATGAAGAAATCTAGTCACTCTCTCTCTCTCCCTCTTTCTCTCTCTCTCCCTCTCTCTAAGAAATACCAAGAACAATGAAGAAACCTAGTCATTCTCTCTCTCTCTCTCTCCCTCTTTTTCTCTCTCTCTCTCTTCCTCTCCCTCTTTCTAAGAAATACCAAGAACAATGAAGAAATCTATTCACTCTCTCTCTCTCTATCCCTCTTTCTTTCTTTCTCTCTAAGAAATACCAAGAACAATGAAGAAATCTAGTCAGAACCTTTCAATTACTATCCAGTATTTGATACATCAAGTTGTAAAATAAATATGAAAAAATGAGTAAGAAAAGTATGTTAATTTAATAACCAAGTAGCCCTGGGCCCCAGAAATAGATGTAATATGCTCTTTTGAAGCACCAATGGAACATTAACAAAAACTGGTCCTACATCAGATTATAAGGCAAACTGCAGTGAGTTCCAAAAGCCAGAAGCAGGTAACATTCTCTGACCACAACAGAGTCCAGCGATAAATGAATAGGAGCCAACTGACCGCTCAAATCCAACCATTAGAATTTTCCAAAAGTCAGTCCCTACATAACTGCTAGGTCAGAAAGACAGAATGGATTACACATAATCTTTGACCAGAAAGAAGAGAGGAGAGAGGCTTAAAGCAACCTGAGACCAGATGAACAACTCTTTTTTGTTTTTTAATGTATGTTTGTTTGTATTTATTTACTTAGAGGGGGTGGGGAGAGAGAGAGAAGGGGAGGAAGAATGCCAAGCAGGCTCCGTGCAGTCAACACAGAGCCCAACGTGGGGCTCAATCCCATGAACCATGAGATCATGACCTGAGCTGAAATCAAGAGTCGGACATTTAACCAACTGAAACACCCAGGTGCCCCCGGATGAACCACCCAATGATAATTTCAATATTGTCATGAAATGGATGACTTTTTTCCCCCCAAGAAAACCTAAATTGAGGAATTTACTTAAAAATTAAAATCTTGAATATGACAATAAGCAGGGGGTGTAGGGAGGGTACTGGAAATGATGTTAACGATCCAGCCATGATGCCTCTCCCCTCAATCCCGCCCCCGGGAGGGAAAAATAAGAATGAGATTCAGACACTTGCAGGAACCAGTGCTTTCAAGCTTCTTGGATGGATAATATCCATGACATAAACTACTGAAGATGGTTGAAAGGTACAAAAGACTCCAACTCTCATTTACAAAAGGACTGTAACCCTGATGTCGGGATCTATAAAAGAAAATAAATGAACACACCTCCTTCATGTGGTGTTGCCTTGTGAGGCAACCAGGAGTGTGTGTTGTATTCCACACACAAGCCCAGGGCCATATTGAAAAGAAGAGTTAATATGTGGTTTTTTTTTTTGCTCTCTCAGCTGACTGGCCACTGTGAATGAGTGGGTGCCACTCTAAAGTCCCAGGGAACGAGAAGGAGAGGAAGCAGAGTACGTTCTGGGCTGGGAGAACTGTGGAGAACAGTATCATCCATGGTGTTAAAATGCCGAGTTTTACGCACTGCAAATAGGTGGGTTCCTTTTAGCGACGACTTGAGGAGACCGCCGGTAAAGATTAAGGACTGTTGAAACCATGTGGCCGCAGGAAGGGGATCACTGGATGTCACTGGAGCCTG